TTCTGTAGAAAAAGTTGTACTTTGGCAACCATGTCATATCAACTGTCAAACAAACCTGAAGTTCTGTATTCCTTTCTGTTTGTTTGACCCTTTACCTTACGTAATGACATGTACTGTATATTATCTGTTTGCACAATCTCGGAGCGAATGAAAGCAACAACAAAAAAACAAAATTAAAAAATTGAACATGATAGAAGAAATAATTACTTTGACCCTAATATTCAAATATTCAATAGTATTATGACTACACTATTTTATGATAGCCGTGTGTGTTATGTGTGTTTTTTTCATATAGTAATTTTTTATGCAAACTTTTACCAACATCCCTTCCAAATTCACCATTTATACTGATTTAACGCTTCCCTTAGCACAAAAAATGTTTTAAATTGCGTTTGATAAGAGGTGAAATTAAGATTCAAAATCTTACTCTATTAAAAATTAAACTTTATGTTAATATGCGTTCAAAATCAATGTTTTCAAATATCTTTACTTTATTAAACCTAAATACAAATTTTCCTTTTCACACATAGATCAGGGGAGAGCGCGAACGCAGTCCCCCACTCCCATAAATTATGCAGTTGAGATTCCCACATTTGGGGAATTCACACTGGTCAGCACGGCCGGAAGTGCAATGGCCGAGCCTCGCAATGGGTGAACCACCCTACTTGATCATGGTGTCTCCCCTGCCAGGTAAGTATGATTTTGGGTTGTTCCGGATACCGACTTGTTTCACAGACAAACCATGCTCACTGATGGTGCTGACGAGCTACGAGTAAACAAAACCAATAGTTATAGTCCTGAGTCTGCAGGATTTCAGCACAAATAAAAGAGTTTTGTACGAAGGCTGGTTTTATTATATTATATTATATTTATATTACAGTTTATTTGACGAAAGAATAAAACGAATTGTATTTCCCATCATGCAATGCTGCGTCTCCACAGCAAAAGCGGACATAAAATCATCTATTTTATCATTTTACGTCCTAAAGATGAGCGACAGGTTGTGAGCCAAAGCTTAATCGCGAATGCAACAGAGGTTTTTTGATCCATGTTTGAAATTGAGAGAAAAGTGTAAAGAACTAACTAAGTACGTTTTTCACACATTACAAACCACTTCCTGTTTCTTTGTTTACCAGTGGCGGCAACTGATAAATTCTCGCTACTGCCTCCTACTGCTCTGGAGGTGAACAACACTGTTTCTTCAACATATTTATCTACGTTTCTCTGCATGTAAGTCACAGTAAAAAAAAACAATTTAGATTAAAACAGGAAAATAAAGTTTGCACAATGCGCATGCCTTTCTTTTGATCTGTCAGGGAAAGCGGTCGGGAAGCAGCAGCAGCAGCAGAAATTATGCAGAGTGGATATTCACTTCTGGAGAATGAGCTACAGTAATAATCAAAAATGAAATTACGGTTCATTTCAAAACTACAGTGCAATGAAGCTAAAAACACATCAAAACTTGAAGGTTTAATTAAGAACCTAGGAAGAAAAGTAGAGTGAACGCAGCATATTTCCTTTCCTCCTCGTCTCAATAAGAAGTTTGACCCATTTAACAATCACATGTACGTCACTGCAGGCTCACGCATTCAAACTGCAAGGAGTATTAGACGTCCGGACTATTATTTAACACGCAGTATTACATCTACTGTTCACTTATTAATATTATACATTGAGAGGGGGTGCACCGTTCCTGGAAGTACTGCAATACAAGGTCGATGCGTGGAGTGGACGGAGCAAGCCCCTATTCCATCTCCCTGTTCCAAAAATCAATTTAATAATATGGTCCCCGGGTAGGGGACGTATCAGATATTAAACTGATAAAACACGATACTACACTTGATCTTAGCCAAAAGGCCGAGAAGCGATAACACATATCACTTGGCGAGGCAACGACCCTGATTACTCCGCAACGTCCAGTCTCACTGAATGGGTTACACACCTGAATTACATCATTTTGGGGTCAAAATTATGAAACGGAACGAAAGTACATTGAAGCCCATTGTACCACTGGTTGCTGTTTTTGTTGGCGTGTATTTTAATATAACTAGCTTTTTAAATGCACCTTCGTTCGTATCTTTCCTGACACGTGGCTTGGCCTTCGTCCAATAGGAAGTAGGAATAACGCTATGGAAACCAAAACTTCATTTTTAAACAGGCCACGTTAATACATGTTGTAGCATATGTCGGTATATATGGCGACTATAACGATGTTTTCAATTCAACTTAATAAACGTGAAAATGACATTCGGTGTTGGGGGAAAACAGCTGTTTTTAGAGATTCTAATACTTGCAACAACAAACAGCGCTCTTCAGCGGTCTCTAGCGGAGAGTGAACGTGAGTGCTCCTGTAGCCACCCCCCCAACGAGGACTCTGCGTCCTTATGCCGTCTCACTCTGATTCTCCCCAAAAGATGAAAGAACAACCCTTCTCAAACCACCCAAAGCATCCAGTGAAAGTTCTGATACCTGCACTCACTTTAAGGATCCAACTCCAGAGATATCTTTTTGCCCATTCTCCCCACTTTCCCATTTTTTTTAAGATGTGGTGCTAATTTTGTTCAATAATAATTGAATCAGCTTTGGTTTTTGCCTTTTAAGTGTTTTCCTGGTTCTATACAATATCTTTCTTCTCTCGCAGGACTCCTTTAGTGCAAGAATGATAAGGTGTGCAGAGTTCGAGGTGACGGGATACAAGGCAACACATTTACTCTAAAGAAATCAGGGAAGTCCATGGATCAAAAGTCTATTCAGCCAATACGTTCAATCCAAACAGAAATAAACCGATTACCTCCTGCCGGGACAAAACCAAATTGGTTGAGGTTTGGAGCGGTGAATCTATGCCTGTTGGACACGAATATAACATTAGCGACTCAAACAACGATATTCTCACCTTTAGCTCTCTCTCACAAAATAATAACCGGCAGCAAAACGTTATTCTAACTGTTGTATATGATTTTACACTCAATTTGACAGGTTTCTTGGGGTAACTCAGTACATTAGTTTTGTTTAGACGCCTTAAATTTGTAGCGGATTTTTTTAACTAAATCAGTCACTTGAAATGAAAACCTAATGCAATGCGTTATACTTACAAACCCCGCTTCCTGCTAACAAGTAACTGCCCTCCGCATAGAGTGAAAAAAAACGATAAGAAATGAACTTCAAGCTTTTTGTTATAGTAGGAATCACGATTTCATTCTTTCCTCAACAATGAAGTTAAGAAACTGTTGTAAAGATCCCGAAATTAAAAAATGCGGCTAAGTTGATTCAACTGTTGCGAAATGTAACTGGAATGCTTGCTTACATGAAAGACTAAAACAACATGAAAAGGAAAGGGAGTGTAAGTGATAGCCCCGAACCGGTGACGGCATGGAACCTTGTGGTTTGAGCCTCTCTCTTGTTACTTCCTAACATTTACTGATCCTTGCCCATGCCAACAAAATAGGCTGAGACAATAAAATAGTTTGCTAAAAAGAAGATGATAGTTGTGAAACTGCGTACGCCTGATTGAGAGCATAATAGAAGCACAATTGGCAACCACTGAACACTTTTCACGACGGGCACTGTTCAGAACTTGATCATCACTCATGCTAGTTTCTCTGTCCGAAACTGATTCCCAACTTGCCCTGCGTGTCGTGCATTAGCAAAATTAACTTATTAATGAGGCCACTGAAATCGGTTTTTAGCCAGAGGCGATGTTAACCTCCAACGACGAATACAAAGCAACTGGGTGCAGAGTGTGTTTGACTTCAGGAGCTTCGCAATCATCATACCCTGTTCACATGTGCCAGCTGACACCAAGCATTACTTAAGCAATACCAGCGCAATTATATACAAATAATAAATGAGGACATAACTTTACTCTATATCTGCCTGAACAGGAAATATACAAGGCTAAAGCTGGTTGAAGTTTCATCAGTAGAGAGAACATATGCCTAGAACAGGTACCATGAACAGTGAATACCGCCTAGGTCTATACGGGATATAAGATGCCTTACGATATATAGTTTTAAGCTGTTGCCTTGGATTAATATTACTTATTTATTAGAATATGAAAAATTTTCGGCTTTATGCAAGGTAAGTTATTAGTCACTGAAACAGTACACGTCCTCCCCACGTGAGACAGCGCTTGTATGGTGGTATAACTTTAAGAGATAGAATCCTGGCGGACAGATCAATAATAAAGGTGTTTTGTGTTTCTGATCTCTCTCCTCTCTTTGAATTTATATTATGTAGTTGTCATATCAAGTGTAGTAACTAGCTTTTTCAGACTCGCAATATTACAAACTAAACTCAATAGTATAATCCACACGAGAGCGACTTAGCATGCAAAACATGATGATGGACAGAGGGAATCATGTTAGAGAAGCCCTAGAAGTATGCATGCTTGTTCATGAATCAACCGGACCTGTGGTGTTCCTTCTTCTGACCTTGATATCCCAACCCTGTGAGTTTGATCGTACTGATTGTCACTTCTATTTGTATTTGTATATGGTGAGAAGATATGGCAGAGGTATTTTTTATAGTCTTTTATCAAGGGCCGCATGATGAGATGCTATATACTTAATCATC